GCGTCGGCGTGCCATGTCCCCAGGCTGCCGCTGAGCCACTTGGGATACCCAAGGAATCTCCACTTGCTCCCCCCATACAAGCGTGGCTGGCTTGTCCATGGTGGTGGGACCCAGGAGCGCCTGGTCCCAGAGGAATGGGGACGTGACAGCCGTGCGGCCCCTCCGTGCCCCACTCCCCACAGGTGCCAGGGATGGAGGGGCCTTTGCCCCTGGCTCTCCCCTGGACAGACGTGGACGCGAGCTGGCCGGGCACCTCGTGGGTGGATGGAAACTTGGCCGGAGGTGCGTAAACAGCGGGTAATGATAAACGGTGTCTAGGAGGTGGTGATGGCAACACTGGCGTCGCTCTGCTCCTGCCCGCCCTGGCATCGCACATGCTGGAAGACGCGGGCTCTGCCCCACGTAGCCCTCACAGTGCTGCCGGCTGCTCTGCGCTGAGCCGCTGGCACGGGCTGAGCCGGGCCGTGTGCCACCGTCACCACCAGCGACAGGACGCAGGGACCGCGCCAATGCTGATGTAACCCACCGCCAACGCCCTGGCGGCGAGGGCGGCGCGTGCCCTGGGCAGGGCCAGGTCCCTCACGGCTGATGCTTAGATGACTCCGCCGTCACACATCCACATGATGGTGGATGTGTGCGTGGCCTCACCTCTGGTTTGGGACACCTCAGCAGCACCAGCACTGAGCCCTTCTCCTCCTCCTCTTCCTCTTGTGCAGGGGATGAAGCACCTGGCGCCAAGTGATGGAGAGCTGAGGCTGCTCCAGCATCGCCCCTCAGGCACTGTTCTCCAGCACTGCCCCGGCTTCGCTCCCCACCACACAGGCTGCTGCTCGCCCAGGGACGATGCCGAGCCTCAGGCAGGCGAGGCGGGGTGTGCCGGCGGCACGGTACCCTAGGGGCGCGTGCCCCATCCCGCCCTGGGGCCGCAGCTGACGCAGGATGCCGCAGGGTTACCCATTAACTGCAGGAATTTCTGGGGAGGAGGTGAGCGGTGAGCGGAGGCGAGGGGCAATGTGGGTCTCCTTAGACTTTGCTCTTGTCGTGCATATAAAGGGCCGCAGTGCCCCGCGGGCCACTTCGCTGGAGGGACGCGTGGATGTGGCATGTGGACATGGCGCTGCCCTGAGTGCCCGGCCAGCCCCAGGTGAGCAGGGCCCTGGGCAGGAGGGGTCCCTTCCCCATGTCCCCTCTGCCCGGGCTGCTTGCCCTTGCGGGAGCTTGCTGGTGTGGCACGGCAGTGGCCGGTGGCCCAGGGGACTTCTGGGTGATGGGATGGTCCTTCTCAGTGGTGCCAGCACCACAGGGATTCTGGGGGCTGGTAGCGGTCGGCATGGCACAGCCATCCGTGGCTCTGCCGTGGTGACACATGGCCGCCTCCCCTCAGCCTCAGCAGGAGCGATGCTGCCCTTCCAGAGGGAGAGCCCGGCCCTGCCCCGCTGCCCGGTGCGGGGAGGAAGGGTGGTGCACGGGCCCCAGTTCACCTACTGCCCCAGCCCCCAAGGTAGGTGCCCCCAGCCCTACTCCTCCTCCTCTTCCTCGCCAAGCCGGGCTCAGTTCCGCTTCTGGCCGGACCCTGGCCCGGGCGGTGCCCTGCTCTCCTCTGCAGGGGGGTCCCCGCAAGGATGGGGCCATAACACGGGTGCCCCCTCTCCCCAGCTCTGCACCGGCTGCCGGGTGCCCACACCTGCCCCTTCACCGTCGGTGCGGTGCCTTGCCCTGACCATGGCTTCCCCTGCCCTGGCTCCCCGGGGCGCCTGGGCGAGGGCAGGGAGCGGTACGAGCTGGAGGGGCTGCCCCCGCAGGGGGCCCCGCTGG